AAGGTTGAATCAGTTAGGTCCCAGCGAGGATGCCGCTCATGTGAACGACCACCTCCAACACCGCAACGTGGATCTCCCAACCGACACCCTCTGCGCCATCATTTTGCTTTTTATGTTCAGGGCTCTGCGAAGTTTTGAATGCAGTTCTCTTTCATCAAAGTAGAAACCTATTGAATTCAAAAATTTTCTTGCTTTATTCAGTAGACATCTTCTTTTCCTAGTTATCAAGTAGTTTTGTATATTGATTGATTTGGTATCAAGAAAAGAGAAGTACTCGGAAAGCAGAAAGGGTCTTTCCACATATGTAGTTCCGATGCCTATGAGCGTCCAAACGAAGGAGAGGTAGGAATGTATCTGCAGGAGAAGAGAAACGGCGCGAGAATACGCAACCATCACTGGCCTCGCAACTACATATTTGGGAACGCCCCTTTTCGCTGTCTGATATGAACTGTGTTATTGTATGATCCTTTTTGCAGCTGTATGGAAACGTTTGTTATAAATGTGGTGAAGCTTGTGGTGGCGAAGTGTTCCAAGCACTTCAAAAAAGCTGGTGTATTAAATGTTTTGCTTGTTCGTTATGCGACAAAAAGATGGATCACAGGTTAGACTTCGTTCCTAAATAGGCTAATGAAGACACGTTCCACGGTTATAGGGTGGGTAATACTGCTTCCCTTTACAAGGTAGCCCATCCCGCAATCTCAAAGTTTATATGATATTCGCAGCTCGAAAAAGAGTCATTAGGGCGATGAGGCCGTCTTTGCCGCGACGGCTTCTCCTTCCACTACTTGTGCCAGTTTCGCAGCTCGAAACGGTAGGAAAAGTGCGCTGAGGCCGTTTTCTGCAGTAGCGACTCCGCCCACCACCACTGGTGCGATGCCTTAGTCGATCGGTGTTTGTGTTCCGTCGTCTCGCCGCTCTTATTGTTTTCCCTCATACCTAGAGCCCCTGTGTCTCTCACCAGCGCTAATGGCCGGGAAGATGTTTCTCTCCGTTCGTACGCTTGTTCCTATGCTCGAACGTTAACCTTCCAGCTCAGTCAGAAGCAGCCACCTTGCTTCAAAACATATTCTCGTTGGTTTGTCTGGCCTTTCTTCCTCCTCACTTGCATGGGCCCACTGCTCGATCATTGAAGATTTTTTTGGCAAAACTGACTCCCTCCCCTTCTGACACGGCCTACTTCCTCATTCTACCTATCATTACCCAACTTTTTCCAAAACGTCAGCTTTCCGGCACTGCTAAATAACCGGGGTAAGGAGTGGGGGGGGGGTAATGAGTGCACGCGAAAAGGGAAGAATGAAGAACAGGGAAAACTTTCATACGGCAAAATGTAACCTCCTCTCTTCAGCGGTCGAGTTTGACCGCTTGGTGATTTCCGGATGGTGGACACCGCTTATAAATACCCCATTTAGCGCCTACAAGCCCATTCTTTAACCCCATTACTCGCCTCCTGCAATCACGGAATGTGTTTTCGACATGCTGAAAATTTCTGCAGTTCATTGTGAAAACCTCGGTAAATATAATGAACTGTTTAGGACAAAGTTCTACGAGTTCGACATGAAGCCGACCTGTAAGCGATGCTACGATCGTTTCCCAACAGAGTTGAAAAAGCGAATTTCGGACAGTTTGAAAGACAGAGATATAGAAAATCAACGCCGACGTTCACAAAGTCCGTCAACATTGCGACAAACGTGACAGAGTTGATGGCATGATTATCTTTCCATTATGAGGGCCAAAACGTCAGACATGCCCTGACTGCATAAATCTATCCTGAAACTCGTTCATACTGATGGTTCGGTGTACTTATAGATGTTTGATTGCTGTTGATTATATACCGTTATTGCTTATATGGAGTATGGATAGATCAAACGAAAGTTGAAGAATAAGAAGTTTGGAATATTGTTCTCGTCTTTCGAATCCTGTGGTTTGTTGCGCTTGTTGCGAGGATTCGTAATGATTTTCCAAGAATCTATGAATCTTGCACCTTGAGAAAAAGTTTATATCCAGCGAAAGTACCTCATCGATCCTGCCAACCAGAAGGCGTGTAAAGGGGCGTGGATTGGAGAGCAGCCGAGGCAGCGTCATTTACCAATTGTTGCGGACTCAGGATGGTACCATTGATTGAAAGTCAGTTCTGGCTGCACTGCAGTCCACGCCCCTTCACGCTCTCTCAGTTGCAGGCATAGTGACTGTGTGCTCCATATGTCAGATAGAGTGAGCAGGGTGCGTAATTCATTCGAGCTTGACGACGGCTGCGCCTCTGGTGGACTGCTGTAGTAGAAGCGTAACAGCAAAAATTAACTAAGAAAAGATTTCTAGTAAATCAGTAACTACTCCTATTTTGTCAAAGATTTTCCGTCGATGGAGGTTCCTGTCCTGCATTTGTCGCCAAGACATACATGTAAATGCAAGCCGGTGCGGAGTCGCCACGACAGTGCGACGGTGTTGAAGAAGGCAGAAACGTAAGAAGGGAACGCACATCCTTGTTCGAACTGCATTGAGTCGAAAGACGTCACACATCTGTAGTCGTCGGGCCGTTAGTTAGTGGCAGCTCTCGTGGCTCTCAACGCGCTCTGCGAGCTACTTGATAAACTCTCCTTTTCATGAGCACGGTACTGGAAGTCTACCCCACCACCCCTTCCCAGGGCAGACAACCATAAAACACTATTTGACAGCTGAAAATGAAGGCAGCACATATCGAGTGATTGTAAATCAGGAAAAATCACACTCTTCAATGTCCGACATACAGAGTGTGGTTCATTTACTGCAGCTGGCTGCGGCCATTGGGCGATGGACCCGCTGAATGCCATCTTACAAGTCAGGTAAGTTGTTCAGACATTTAGCGCTGCCGCGGATAACGTTCAAGTCTATAACCGTTTCCATGGTCTGCGGTCTGGTGCAAAACAATAAAGCCTGACCTGGAATACACCAATCAGCTTAGACATGCTTACAAAGCCTTGAAGATACGCAGCATGCTGACTTTCGAGTTGCCATGTGCGAGGTGAAGAGGTGGCTGTAGAAGTGTGAACATCTCGTTACTCGAAAGCGTGCTGAATTAAGGCTGGGGGGTAGTAAGGGCCAGGTGACGTTTCCGAATCAACGTACAGGCTAAGCAAGGCAACGGGCCGCACAAGCGAGCATAGACGTGCTATGACCAAATGCACCCCTTATCTGCGCTCTTTCATGTATGGATGTTCACTACAGATGACCGGGCGCTCCAAGACCACACCCTCCTTTCGTTTCGCCGAGTTTGCTTCTAAATCACCTTGGTAACTGGGGGAACTGCAGCTTACCGACTGTCCACTAAGCGTCCTACTGCTGCATACATCTATTGCCGGTGGATCGTGGCCTTGTCTCATGCATACTTTGCCCCGAGGTATTCCACTTCTGCTTGCATGCCGGCAAGATGCAATGGAACGCTTCGAATGGTACTCACCAGCGTTGGGAGGTATGATAATGATAGTGCCAATGATAAACTCATCAACTACTGCTGATTACATCTTAGAAAGCGTCCAGCATTT